GTTTAGATAATCCAGACATCCTTCGTTTAACGGTTGCCTCTATATCGTTGATGAAAACTTTTTTGTGTGAGGCATCAGCGTCCTCCCATTTAACGAAACTTTCTGCAACTCGTTTTCCCATCGCCAAAAGTGCTGCACGTTTCCGTTGAGTACAATACATTAGAGTAATGATGGCTTTAAGGAGATGTAAAAATGGCATTCCTTCGCTATGCCAAATGCAACCGTTTGTCCTGCTCTTTTACTCACTCATCTACAACGTTAATCACGCAATCAGTTTCGATAAAGCATTTGTCCACTTTGTTGCTTCATTTGAATTGTTTATTTTATTGTAGTATGTGCTTAGTAGAACCAGTTCTTTAGTGGTTCCTCTCAAACCATAGAAATAGCTGTTCGACTTTTAAATTACAGATAACCAAAACTACCCATCATATTCTGGGTTTGCAACAAGTTAATTTTAAATACGTGCGAATAGAAGAGCATGCGCACGCCTCTTTTCGGGGATTTGATCAACCAAATCACAGTATCTTTGGATCTAAAAGCCCTGTAAACCTTATAAGCAAGCCATCGCACTATGAAATGATTGCAGTCCATTGATACAGGCTAATTAGCTTATTTCAGACTTCTTCAGGACAGACGCGTACACGTCGTTGACAACAACGTCGAAGCAACCGCAGTAGGACTTGTCTGGCGGACGCATACACACGTCCCAGATCCGCACGTCTGGCAACACGCAACTCTGGTTTGATAATCCCTGCCTTTCCCATGTAACCCCCCAATGCAGCGGTCGTTGCACCAATTACATGGTTGCACTTAGATGCTGGTGCATGTAGAACAGTCGAACGAACAACGCGCCAAAAGTGCAGACCTTGTCGCAGGCGCTTGAACGCTTCGATACCTTGATCAGGTGTTACAGTTCAGCCGAGTTCATGTACCAGCCGTGTAACGGACACACTTGATGCCCTAATGGGTGTTCAGACAGTTGTCTTTATTGAAGTACAAGAAGCAGTTGCCCAGAACGCACTTCAGCAAGCGACGAAGTCGCCAAATGTGAATACAGCAACGATTTTGTT